GGAAAGGTGATAAATGGAATTTTTGTTAAATTTATTTTTCCTCTAGTGCCAATGGTGTTGACCCAGCCCTTCCCTGGGATCTGCACAGGGATGTGGGATTGGGGCTGTAGTTTCCCTGACCTAAGAATCCTCTTTATTTACGTGTTGCCTGAGGGCTTTGCCAATTTAGGGAATCCCAGGAGTTTTTGTGTTGGAAGGGGCCTTAAGGATCATTCACTTCCACTGTCCCAGGTTGCTCCAAACCCCATCTAAGCAGGCCCATTCCAGTAATGGGGCAGACAGAGCTTCTCTGTGCCAGGGCCTTGCCATCCTCACAGGGAAGAATTCCTTCCCAAAATCCCCCCTCACCCTGGACTTCAGTCCTCTCCCTGCTTTCCAGGTCTATAAAGGCCCTGAGAGCTGTAAAATATTTCCAAGAGATTCAAACAAGCCTGGAAATTCTGAGGCTTCGAGCCCTAATAGAAGATTGTCCCATCCCAAATGCCGTCCCATCCCAAATGCCATCCCATCCCAAATGCCATCCCATCCCAAATGTCATCCCATCCCACCCCAAATCCCATCCCCTCCCACAGCCCATCCTTCAGGCTCAACACTGAGTCAGGAGTTTGGTGCTGAAGAACAGACACAGCACAAAGGCACCGAATCTGGGCTCGGGGACAATGCCAGGGGCTGAGGGGAGCTTGTCCTGAGAGATGATGGAGCATCCCCTGGGACTGGGACAGGGACAGAGGGGACAGCAGGGACAGGACAGAGGAGACAGCAGGGACAGGACAAAAGGGACAGCAGGGGCTGCCCCAGGGGCTGCTGGCACTGTGACACTTCCAGGACCTGGAGCAGAGCCAGGGAATCTCCTGACGGGACCCACCAGGACCTTGGATGCAGCTCCTGGCCCTGCACAGGACACCCCAACAACCCCAGCCTGGAATAAATTACACAGAAAATAATACCCAATTCTAAACAATATTCTATAATTTTGTCTTATATCTATTGTTTTAAATTCCTTTCTATTATTCTATTAATTTTATATTATCATATAAAACATATATATTTTATATAAAATATTTTATAATATATATTTATCATATAAAATATTATATATATATATATAATATTATATATTATATATTATATATATTACATTATAACCAATATATGTACATTTGTACCTGCCAGCAGTAGGCAGTAACACAAATGTGTGTGGAAATGTATTTCTATATATTATTATTTTTAAATTGTGGATGTGTGAGAGAGCATCCAACAGTTTTATGTGTATATATTTTAATACTTATATTAATATTATAAATATTAAATTGTAAAAAAATATGCAAATATTTATAGTAAATATTTATATATATTGCTAAAATATAAATTTATATTACATAAATGCATATTTGAAAAGTATATATGTAACAAAAAGTGTGTTTATCTGTATGCATAATTAACTATATTCTCTATATGTATATAAAAAATGTTTATGTACCTATTATATTTCTATATCTCTAAATATATTTCTATATAATATATTTAATGTCAGATTTAGTATTATGTTAATATTTTAACAATCTATTTAAATGAATATTGTAATATATATTTCTATATCTTTTGTATATGAACAATATGAGTCATCATATTAAAAATTAAATATATACGATATATAATTATATGTTATATCCATATATAAATATATATTATGTATAATTCTGTATGTTATATATAAAAAATTGTTTTAGATTTATATTATATATTATTATATATTATTATATATTAATGTATATTAATATATTAATATATATTAATATTATAATATAATATAATATAACATAATATAATAAATATTATATTATATTATATATTATATTATATTATATTATATTATATTATATTATATTATATTATATTATTATGTTATCATATAATAATATTTGTATTATATACAATGTAATATAATAATATAATAATATCTATATTATTCAACATTATATAAAAATACGTATCTCTGAAAAATATTTATCTTTTTATTTTAGAGAGACATCTATGTTAATATAAATATTTTGGATTTTATATATATTATATATTTTAGATCTTTATACAAAAGATACAGAATTCATGAGCATTATGTAGGCCAGGGCTACATGTTGCTATAGATGGTGTATATATAAATATAGCACTGTATATAAAAGAAACATATATCTCTGATAATATTTTCATATATGTAATGTAATATAATAAATACCTGTATATTTTAAAAGACATATATAGTATAAAATAGTATCTATAAATACAGCACTATACCTAATACATATAGACTATGTATTATATATAGGAATATACATATAAGATGCATATTAATAATACAATTAATAACCAATATAAAAATAATATTAATTATTATCATTAATAAAAAATCAATAATAAATATATGTTTCTATAAAATATATATGTAAAATATATGTAGATAGAGTCATAGCTATAGATATGTGTTTTTATAAAAGGGCTATGATACGTGAGAATTTCTGTATATTATAAATGGTTTCATTTCTATATTATAGATTATACAATACCTAGTATAAAACATATATATTTATAGATTTATTAGATTTATTATACATTTATATTTATATTTGTATTTATTTATATAATTGTATCATTATTAATAATATAAACCCTATTTAAACTTATTAATATATATTTATTATATTTATATATGTATTATATTTATATATTCATTATATTTATTTATATTTGTATTTATATCTACATTAATTTATATATTTATATAATTATATAATAGAAAATATATTTGTATTTATTAATATATGTTTATATTTATTATATTTATGTATTTATTATATTTCTTATACATCTAATATATATTATATATTATATATTATATATTATATATTATATATTATATATTATATATTTTATATTATATATTTTATATTATATATATTATATAATCTATTACACAAAAAGATCTGTTGATGTATTTTATCCTCTGGAGGATCAGCACAAGGTGTGAGCCAGGGCTGTGCAGAAACCAGACTGGGAAGGTTGGTTCTATATGGAACAATTAATTAAATTAATTAAATTAATGTTCCAAAGCAGTTTGGGAACACTTTTAAAAGACATAAATGAAATAAAAAAACCCAAATATTAAAAAAATAAAAACAAAAATAAAAATAAAAATATAAAAATAAAAATAAAAATAAACCCCACCAATATTAGACAGGGAGGGGTTGTTATAAATGGAAATGAGTGATGTGGCTGCTTACAGACAGAAATATAAAATATTTTAGATGTTTAACAGGAGAGGCATCATAGAGTTCTGCTTATAAAGAAATACATAAATATGAAGAGTGTTTGTGAGAACTGGGGATGTGAGAGCAGGGGGGTGGGCAAATAAAAACCCCCACATTGTTTGTGGGGCAAATAATTATAATAATGTATAATATGATACATGATATAATTGGATATGAAATTATATATTATTATATTTTATTTTATTATATAATAATTATATCTGTAATATATAATTTAATATTCATTATCTATTATAACATTATTATATATATCATATACTTATATATTATTATATAGAATCATATATAATTATATAAGTATATAGTATATAATTATATAATATTATTATATGGGGAAATTATATATTTCTATATTTCTATTATATTAAACATTGGTGTGGGAGAGAGGCTGAGACTGTAAACACAGGCACCTATAGAAATGGAAAATGCAGGAAATCAGGTGGGTGTATAATACAAGTGCATAGGGATATTATATATATAAAAGGTGTTTATATGATGGTATTATGTATTATATATAAAAGTTATTGATATATATTACATGTATTATTACATATCTATTTATATGTATTACTATATATATTTCTATGTGTTATATATGTTTATATATATCTTTATCATATATTGATATATATTTCTATGTGTTTCATATATTTATATTTATCTTTATAATATATTGATATATATTATATATGTGGATATAAAATACATTAATTATATGCTTTACCTTATGCAGTATATTATTACATAACTGTATATGATTGATACATATATATATATAACATAAATAATGTATATGAAGTGTTTCTGTGCATGCATAATTAACTGCTGTATATTCTCTATATACTTAATCCATATTCTACGTATTTTATATTTTGTATTGCAATATATTTTATATATATTTATATATATTTTTTATATATATTTTGCAAAAATATATGTAAATTAATTATATTATTTAAAATACATGTATATGCTTTACATGATGATTGTGTACTACATAATGTATACATTATGACATACCATAAAATGTAATATATATAATACATATAATACATATTATAAATATAACATGATATATATAATATAAATAATATATATATTATATATAATAATAGATAAAGTGCTTCTGTGCATGCCTAACTAGTATATATTCTCCATATACTTACACTATATTCTACATATTTTGTTTGTATATGATATAGATGTTACATGCAAAAGGTATTTATATATAATTGCGCTTTATATTATATATGTATGTATATTTTAGAATATGTACATAATATAAAATATAATTTATATATTAAGTGTTTCTGTGCATGCATAATTAACTACTCTCTATATACACTATATTCTATATATTTTATAAATGTGTGCATGTGAATATGTACATATATAAATATCTGTGTGTGTATAGATAAATGGATATAGATTAAATAAGTGGGAGAGTTTTGAGGGTACAAGGCAATGACATCTGTGTGTATGATAAATATACAACACATATATCTAAATATGAAACATACATATATATAAAAACTATATATGTATATATATATGTGTGTATATAAAATTATATAAGTGAATATAAAAATTATAAAAATATAAATTAAAAATATTGAAATTATATAGAAAACCCCCTGCCCCCTCCCACAGGTGTGTGCACAAGACACCAAGGCCAGGTTACAAACACTCTCCTCTTTATTTCCACACTCCCGAGGCCCAAACGGGGCCTTCCTGCCCATTCCCACCCTCTGGAGTCCTTGTGAATCCCACGGGAATGGCTCCATGAATCCCACGGGAATGGCTCCATGAATCCCACGGGAATGGCTCCATGAATCCCACGGGAATGGCTCCATGAATCCCATGGGAATGGCTCCATGAATCCCATGGGAATGGCTCCATGAATCCCACGGGAGGGGCTGGGGGCCCTCACAAGGCATCGTAGTCGTCGTCGTCCTCGTGCTTCCTCTTGAGCGGGTTGGGGTCGGCGGCGCCGGGCTGGACCATGTTGGTGGTGATCAGGATGTTCTTGGGGCCGATGAGGGATGGGTTGATCAGGACGTTCTGCACCGTGGGAGTGGTGGGAGTGGCTGTGGGAATCATGGAAAAGGTTTCAAACTGAAAGCTTGGAGCAAATCCCTGCGTTATTCCAGGCTCGCAAAGCGCTGTGCTGCCAGACCGTTCCGGGGGGGTCATCCCGAGAGGAGGATGGGGAAATGCTGGGGGGGCTGAGGACACAAAGGGGAGAGGGAAACAGGAGCCACGGCGGGAGGGAGCTGCCCAGGATGGTGATGTTCTGGCTGCCACTGCTGCGCTGGGAATGGGAATTAACACTGGAAATTCCTGGAATGAGGAGAGGGGAAGAAATTCCCACATCATCTTGGCCAGAGCAGCTGTGGCTGCCCGATCCCTGGAAGTGTTCCAGGCCAGCTTGGAGCAGCATGGAACGTGTCTCTATCCATGGCAGGGGGTGGGACTGGATGAGCTTCTCCCTCCCAACCCAAGCACCCTGTGGCTGTGTGGTTATCCCTGTTCCCATCCCAGGAATCCCAGGAATACCTGACTTGCCAGCGGGCTGTGAGGACGGGATCTGGACAGTGAAGCGCTGCCCCGCCAGCGACACCGGCGCTCCCACCTTGGCAGACACCGACATGGTCTGAGCTGAGGGGGTGCCTGGATTCAACACAACCCCACCAAAATAAATCAAAATAAATCCAGAAACACTCCTAAAACTCCCTCCCAAGCAGAACCTGCTCTTAGACACAGTGGGAATGCACAGGAACACAAGGACAGCAGATATAAGGAGTCAGATTTCCAGGCAGAGAGGCACATTTGCTCATTTTCCCACATTTACCCCAGCCCCACAGAATTCCAGACTATTAACACACACTAATTTTTAGGGCACAGCTCTACATTTTAAGATCCTTTTAAAAATGGATCTTTCCTGGTGCTATTTAATTCAGCATCATACTGACATTGAGGAAAACAACCTTAAATTTAAGTAAAGTCCTTGAATAGTCCCTTAAATAAAGAATTTATCACAAATTCGGAACATCTGTAATGCATTTACATCTAAATGTTATTGTAATAATAAAGATTAATTTATTAAATTAACTTTCTGATGCTGTCAATATAAGGTCAGGCAGTCACAGACATTCCCTCAGGGGCTGAAAAGTGTTTAAAATTATTCCTCTTTATTTTTTCCTTCCTAAAATAAAGGTGGGAATCCTCTGTGGAGCTGTTTCCTACCCAAAGTGGGAGTGCTGGGTCTGCTGCTCACGGCGCCCACGCTCAGGCGAGGGACTGTGATTCTCCCTGCTGTGGATGAGACCTGTGGGGAGAGAAGCAGGGAATCAGGGAATGGCCTGGAATAAACAGGGAAGTCCCCCCACCGCTGAGGCACCCAGGGCTTCCCAGCAAAGGAAATATTTTCCCTCTAAAGCAGAAACAACTGAGGTAGAAGTAAAAAATACTCTTTAATATCTACACCAAAGCCTGACTTGTGCTTCTCACAACCTGACATTAAACCTGACAGTTCCCCCTGGACAGCAGGAGGAATTTCTTCATGGAAAGGGTGGTCAGGCATTGGAAGGGGCTGCCCAGGGAGGTGTTTGAGTCCCCATCCCTGGAGGTGTCCAGGGAATGACTGGACGTGGCACTCAGTGCTCTGGTGGGGATCAGGCACAGGTTGGATTTGATGATCCAGGAGGGCTTTTCCAGCTTCAGTGGTTCTGGGATTTTGCAGTATTTCTTTAACACTACAATATTCCCATACTTTAAATTTTCCCATATTTTAAAATTTCCATTTAAAGTTGACCAACAACAACTGGCAAATCCAGCCTGGAGACCTCCGAGCTGACACGCAAAGGCCAAAATTCCCACACACCTTCAGAGGTGTGGAAAACTGCAATTTAACACTGCTCCCAACCCCCCAGGGGTGAATCCCCAGTCCCTGAGCAATCCTTACCTTCTTCTGCAGGGATTTGAGGCGGTAGTTGGGGGCGGTCAGGCAGTACCTGTCGGGCGGCAGCCGCGGGCCCGAGTACGGCTTGATCAGTGGCAGTGGCGTCTGGTTCTTCTGCCGGGCAATGTCCAGCAGGAACTGCAGAGACACGGCCACATCCCTGTGTCCCCGCCACATCCCTGTGTCCTGGGGACAGCCCCGTGTCCTGGGGACATCCCTGCATCTTGGGGACATCCCTGTGTTGTGGGGACAGCCCTGTGTCCTGGCCTCATCCCCGTGTCCTGGTCACATCCCTGTGTCCTAGGGACAGCCCTGTACCCTGCAGACATCTCTGTGTCCTGCTGATATCCCCATGTCCTGGTGCCACCCCCGTGTCCCAGCCCCACCCCCGTGTCGTGTCCCGGCCCCAGGGATGCCTGCCCGTGGCTGTACTCACGTCCCGGGGCGGGGGCGATGTGAAGGACTGGTCAGTGCGGCACTGGATCGCCAGGCGCACGTCGTCCGCGTCCACGCTCGACTTCTTGGCGTGGCTCGAGTAGATCTTGGCGTCCTCCAGGATGGTGGTCACGTATCCTGGGGGAAACAGGCTCTGGGCTGAGGCTGGGCTAAATGAAATGCTCCCTGATCTCACCCAGGTGGCACTGAAAATTCTGTGGCCTCCGGATACGGCTCAAACTGCCCGAGGGATGGGACAATGGGAAGGAATTCCTCCCTGTCGGGCCCTGGCACAGGGTACCCAGAGAAGCTGTGGCTGTCCCTGGATCCCTGGAAGTGTCCAAGGCCAGGCTGGATGGGCTTGGAGCAGCCTGGGATAGTGGAAGGTGTCCCTGCCCAAACCATCCTGGGATTTGTGATTCTGTGATTACTTTTAAAGAATCACAGAATTACAGGTGGAAAAGATCTCCACGGTCACCGAGTCTGACAGGGGAGCCTCCGTGGAAGCACGGATTCAGAGAGCGCTTCCCTGCTCCAGACAACACTTCCCTGCTCCACCCGGGGCTTCCCTGCGCTCTTCCCGCCCGGCCCCGCTTACTGTAGGCGAACTCCAGCATCTGGTTGATGACACGCGGCTCGTACTCTGTGATTCCCATGTCTTTGAGGATCTGCGCCATCACCTGCGGGGGGGACACAGGCACCGCTCAGTCCCCCGAGCTCCTCGGCAGCCCCCGATCCCGCCCGGATCCCCCCAGACCCCGCGGTACCTGCGCGTCTTTAGGGGCGCTCTTGGGAGACGCCATCTTGGCCGCCTCCATTGTTTCCGGTCATGTGACACAAAGGGCGCGGCTACGGCGGCCGGGAGGGCGGTGTTGCCATGGAGACGCGGCCTAGCGGGGTTGCCATGGAGACGCGGCCTGGCAGACAGAAATTCATTTTACTATAAATATTCATATAGGCCAACGGATGCACAGACCAAATCTGCTGGATTCAAGTGACTGTTTTCCCACTCCCCCTGCTGTAGACAGCCCAGTGCTCCCCATCTGCCCTGTGGTGATGCAGGAGGGGATGTTTTGTTATTGCATTAACAGCTCTGAAGCCACTTTTTAAATTGCCAGCATTCCCAGGATTAACGAAAAATGACAGTGTGCTCCCACTGTTCTGAAAATAAAAGGTTCCACTTCGGAAGCAAATTTAAAAGCTTTCTAAAGCTTGTTTTCATGGCAGCTGACTGGATTTGGAAGGCATTTAGAGCACATTCCATATGCGTTTTGTCAGTTTCTCACTTTCTGAGGCAAAACATAACCAAAAACAAAGTTTTGTTGTGATTTTGTCAGGCAGGCGATCAGCACCGCTCCTGAAGCTGTTGCAATGTGTTGTTATAACCCGGGATGGCCTGAGTGCAGCCAGGTGTGGAGGAAGAGGATGTGCCAGGGACTCCCATCCCAGTTCCTCAGACATGGAGAAACCAAGAGCTGCTCCCTCCGTTCCCCCCTGTGGAACATTCCAGCAGCAGCTCTGGAGCTCCTCATCCACAGCCAGGGAGGCATTGAGCACCTGGATCAGCCAACCTGGATGGAAACACATCCCAAACCCTGCCCTGGGATCAGCCTGGGAACAGGAGCAGCCCCACAGCTCCAGCAGAGCCTGGAGCAGCTGGAAACCCCTCAGCCAGCACAGGATTCCTGTGCCAGAATTCCTGTGCTGAGGCAGCTCTGAGGCCAAGTCATTTGACTTCCATGAGTCAGAGGGTGTCACACAAAAACATCCTGGGAGGAGGGAGGGAAGAGGGATTCCAGACACTAACCTTAGACAAGGAACAAAATCCACTTTTCTTTCTCCTTGCTTTAGGAAACAGGAAGAGGAGCTCTTCCACAGGCTGGGATCAGGCTGGAACTTGGCACATGGAGCTGTGGGCTGTCACACAATTTATTCCCGAGGCAGGAAAGAAAACGATGGTTTGCACTTCCATGGGACTCAGGATTTATCCCTAAACCCAGTGCATGACTCTTCTGCCCCACGTGCCACCTTCTCCACCTGCCCACAGGTGACTTTCCACACTGGGAAGCACAACCAGGAGCTACCTGCAGGATTTCTGTGAGGAGAGCAGCAGAAGACAGGCAGAGCCAGTTCCCACAGGACAGCCACCTGTCCCCAGGGCCATAAAAGCCCCCCTGGCCATGGATGCTTCTCTCCACAGACAGTCCTGTGGGGCACAGCCGTGCTGGGAATCACGGGATCAATGAGGTTGGAAAAGCCCTCCAAGGCCATCGAGTCCAAGGTGTGCCTGATGTCCACCTTGTCACTGAGAGCCACATCCAGTCCTTCCCTGGACACCTCCAGGGACAGGGACTCCAACATCTCTCTGGGCAGTTCTGATGTTTAACATTTTCCATGGAGAAATTCCTGCTGATGTCCAACCTGACCCTCCCTGGCACAGCTTGAGGCCGTTCCCTCTCCTCCTGTCCCTGTTCCCTGGCAGCAGAGCCCGATCCCCCCGGCTGTCCCCTCCTGTCAGGGACTTGTGCAGAGCCAGAAGGGCCCCCTGAGCTTCCTTTTCTCCAGGATAAATGCAGAAAGACACATTCCATGGGCACCACACGCTGACCCAATGGAAGAGCAGCCACCCTTCCCCTCTGCTCAGACACTGGGGCTGTTTTCAGCGTCAGAAAACAGGAAATGGGGTCATGGCATGTCCTGGCCCGGCGCCGACTCCTCCGTCTGCCGCGGGTCATTCATCCCAGGCAGCTGCTGGCCAGCTGGGAATCATCTGTTGGAGAAATCAGGAGCAGAGCCTGGGCACGTGGCTCTGCTCAGGGTGCAGGATTTAAATCCCATAAATTTTAAATCCCTGGAAGTGTTCAAGGCCAGGATCGAAGGGATTTGGTGCAACCTGGGATAGGGGAAGGTGTCCCTGTCTGACAGAGAACAAGGTAAGCTTTAAGGTCTGTCCCGACCCAACCCATTCCACAATTCTATGAAATTTCACTGGGAATTCCTTCCCGGACAAGAATTGTTGAAGTGTTCAGGGCACAGCCATGCAGAGCCCTGGCACAAGGACAGCCTTTCTTGTTGGGAGGTGTCCAAATCTGCAAGAACAACCCCAGCCAGAGCTTCTGCCTCTTGGAAAGGGCAGCAGGAATCTCCTTAACGTCAGATCTGGGATTTTCTGGACAATGCAGTGCCTGTGCTCAGCTCTGACCTTTCCAGCACCAATCCCACGCTATTTGGCTCCACAAAACTTTGGCTTTTGAGTAGTCCTTGGGAGCAGAACTGCAAAGAGCTCCAAGGAGGGGGAGGAGGTTTGTTTTACAGACGATACCTGTCTCACTTCTGCTAGAGCCCCATTCCCAGGTTCTGGAGGAATTCTGAGGACTGTGGCAGGACACATCCTGCTTCTGGGCGTCCCTGCTCCCTTTGGCCCTGTGCTTCCAGCTTCCCAGAGCCTTCCCTCAGGATTCCCTCACTGGCCCCCACTCCCCTTGCCTCCTCCACCCCAGGGTCTTCCAGCTCCTCATCCCTGAAGTGCTACATTTATCCAGGCTACGTGTCCAGCTGTCTCTTTGGTAACGATGGTCAAAGAAAGCCTTTCCCATCTTACCTTCATCAGATCATTAAGGCACCGTCAGGAGAAATTCCACACTCAGCAGCAAATGCTGGGGAAGAGCTCAAGGGGGAAAGGCCGTGAGTCAACACAAAATGATGGAAAATTTGTAATCAGCCACAAATGATTCAATTTTCAGTATCAAAGAACTGCTCTACCTCACCTGGGAACTGCAGGTTCTTCCTGCAGAGTGAGGAGAAATGGAAGTGATATTCCAAGGGTCCCGAGTAAATTCAGCTCTTGATGACAACTGAGCGTGTTCCCTTCCCTTAAATTACACATGACACAAGTGAGACTAAATCCCACAAAAGCACAGGAGCTCGGAGTCAAATCTGAATACATTTGTATTATTTATTGGCTGTATTAAATATATTATCTATTTGATAGTTACAATTTAGTAATACAATGCATGGCAGCTTTAACATACGTTTGAGATACCTCAAAAATGACAACACAAGAAAACTGAAGATGCCTAAAATACATTAATGCCACGAGGGTACATCCTTCTGGAATGGACAACAGCTGATGGAAAATCTGTATTGCAGTATAAATCCTGGATATTTTCTGGAAATATGAGCATTTTGCGGCAACTACAAAAGGATTCAATTTCATTTTTTAGCAGTGGTGACCTGTTAGTATTTACTCTGCCATCCTAGTTTCAGGATTATTATTGCCAAATAAACCTCTACAAGCTGGTTCTAAGGAGTTAAGAAAGAACCCTTTGGCAACGGAGATTTGCTGCAGGCAGTTTATCTGCTAAAGGGAGACTATGAGGAAAATAAAGACAGATTGTAAACTCTTCTGCAAACTAGAGACTAATATCTGTATAAAACTCTGACACTGCAGGGAGAGATTTCTATGATATAATAAATGATTAACTTAAAGTTCTGCTACAAGTAGAACAATACATTCAAACATACATTTTTGTTTCTTTCCAGGACTTTTAATCAAAATAAATAGAGTACAAAAATGAAGAGTACGTTTTGAAAAGATTAATTTCAGATTGCACCATCAATCTACTGTGAAGAGGATTAAGTGATACTAGGTCATAATTTAGGTTTTCCACATCTGAAATACAACACAATGCCTCAAACTCTAACACAACGTTATTCCTCAACTGCTGTAGGAGAAAGACCCTTAAAAGTGATTGATTAATTAATTACTGGAAACACATCGCCTGTAGCTCTGTCACATCCACCCTCCCACCCACAAGTGCATCGCTCTGATGGCCAAAGTGGAGCCACAGACTTTGCAAAATACCCTAAATCTACTATTCTGTGGCATGTTCCAAATGCTGCTGGCAAGACCCATCCTGAAACCTTTGAAATTTGTGAATTCCAGCTTTCAAAAGCTTTGATCTAATGGAGCCAGGAGCTGTCAGGCTCCTCCTCAGGGATTCACAAGCAGATGGAACACAACAGTCAAATGTAGTGCACAGTGTCCACAAAAATATCCCCCAGCCGACCAGGACGAGTTTCAGACAAGTTCATAGCAGGCTGAACATTCCCAACAGGAAAACCATGGAATGTGAAGCTGCTACCACTGGGATAGCAAGTTTAAAACATTGTATAAACGTTAGCTAAAAAGAGTTCTCTCACGTACAATTTGCTCGTTGGGGTTAAGTTAGAAGGGCACCCAAAGCAGGCTGAACTTTTATTTTTTAGGTTAATAATAGTACAAAAACATTTGCTCAGTTTGAGCCAAATAGTGTAACATTTATCATAAATGCACTCTTTCTCCTTAAAGACAACTCCTGTGCTGTTCTGAGCACGCTGCACAGGGAATTACTTTTCTCTCAGGCACTGAGAGTGAAATGTGGATTGGGCCAAAGCTGCTCAGGACAGTAGGAACATTCCGGGCAGAGCCTTTCCTGGGCATCCCGGCCGAGCGCCGCGTCCTGCTGGCATTGGTTTGGATTAAAACCCTAAAAAACCCTGGCACCCTCTACTCCAACACTTGAAATGATTATTACTGAATCCCAAGTATTAAAATAACTGTAAAGTAGTAATATCACTAAGTCAATATTCTGCTTTCCTTCTACAGTCTAGTAAATGTGGTATGCTCTAGTAGGCTCTGCAGTTCTGCTCTAAGCTCAAGCACTTGTGCTGCTGGATTTCATGGATATCAAACTACAGTAAAACCTGATGGAACAGCCATCGCCTCCCGCTGCTCTGGTGGTGCTGGGAAAGGACTGTTCTAGGAATGCCTTCCCTC